GGTACCGGGCGGGACAGATACCCCAACAAGCCGGCCCTCATGTTACACTACCCTGTCCCAGACACCCTTCCCAACAGTGGGAAAATTTATGTTCCATTCGTAGATGGTAGATAAGGTAATCTATTACATATGTGTGAATGTTCTAAGGATTAACATTTTTTATTTATGTGTATGTGGGGTTGTGCCTGTGTATGCGCATGCCACATGTGTGCTGGTGCCCTCAGAAGCCAGAAGAGGATTTCCAATATTCTTGGAGCTGGATCGATACATATATACATATATGTCATAATACATAAATATGTTTTTTTCTGATGTTGGGGATTGAACCCGGGACCTTGCATATACAAAGCAAGAATACACTACTGAGCTGTTATTCTAAGTGTTCTGTCTTATTCTTTTTAATTTTTGTTCATGTGTGTTTGCTTGTATGAGTTTTTGTGCACTATGTATGTGAAGGTGCTCTTAAAATCCAGAAGAGGTGGTTGGATCCCCTGAAGCTGGAGTTATAGGTGGTTGTGAGTTGTCATGTGGGTGCTGGGATCCAAATTCAGCAATCAGTGCTCTTAGCCAGTGAGCGCTCTGTTTGGTTTGGAGGCGGGTCTTCCTGTGCAGCCAGGCAGGACTTGATCCCGTGACTGTGCCACGCAGCCTCTCGGGCGCTGGGGTGGCAGAGGGATGAAAGGCTTCCACTCAACCTGGTGCATAATGTAATTTTATATACTGGCAGATACTACAAAGAAAACAGTTAGGAGAATGGGACAAGGACTGGAACAGGCTTTCCTCAGACTGTGGACAGAACCCTGGCAAACTGGGGGCTGTTACAGGAAATCACAGAGAGGAGGAAATTGTTGTGTCAGTGGGAGCGGAGCCCACTGTGAGTGAGGGCTGCTGGTGCACGTCCCTCCCTGCCCACATTCGGTGGCTCAGGCAGGAGCAAGCATCTAGACCTGGCTGGATCGCTCTGAGGGGACAGAGCCATCTACGGAGCCTGCTAAGGTGGCCAGAGGGCCCGTGCCTCCCTCAGGTCGACTTCTGAGCTACGCATCCTTCTCCTTCGCATCATCCCAGGGGAACGTGGAAACTATAAAACCAAAACCCAGGCGCTACAGAGTGGTTAAGAGCACTTACTGCTTTCGCAGTGTACCTGGGTTTGGTTTCCAGCACCCACACGGGGCAGCTCACAGCTACCCAGCTGTGACTTCAGCTCCAGGGGCTGATGGCCTCTTCTGGCCTCCGAGGACACCTGGATGCACATGTTATGCAGACAGTCATTCAGCCTCTCACACACATAAAAAATATTAAATTCACAAACAAAGGAGGAAAGCCTGTCTTGGCTCTGCTTCCTGGAAAAGTGTAGCCAGGAGACACTCCAAGGTCTGACTCTCCATGGGGTACAGTGTGGCTGTTGTCCACCAGCCTTGGGCGGGGCTTCTTGTAAAATCCCCTTTCCTGAGAAATCTCAGGTGGACTGAATCTACCTACTGTGGTAGAGAAAGGCAGACCTTCTCCTGGCTGGGGTGGGTGTGAGGCTGCTGCTTCCAAGACTACAGAAACAGGGACAGGAGAAGCACTTGTCACAAGAGCAATGCCCACTGAGCTGTGGCTCAGCAGTCCCAAAGATCCACTGCAATGCTTCCTTTCTGCCCCATACTCCGGGGACCCCAACAGGTGGTAGGGGAGACAGCCAATGCCTGTGAGCACCCACAGATACAAAAGCCTTCTTCTGTTTTCTACATTTTTATGTATTTTATGCACACACCCACCCTGCGGCAACTGTCCATGTGCCACAGTGCCTAGGTCAAGCAACAGCATGTGAGAGTTGGGTCTCTCCTGTCCTGGGGATTGAACTTGGGTCATCAGGTCTGGCAACAAATACCTTTACCCACTGAACCATCTTCCCAATCCAAGAGTCCAGCTAGCACCCATTTCCTTAAACCCCGACCCCCAGACCCTGATGGCTTCCCAGTTTGATGTGCACCCACTTTCCAGGCTCCAACTTCTTTGACCTTTGCCCTCTTCCTTGTAATGTTCCTCCTGCCCCAGGACCTTTTGTATTCGCTGCTCTTGGATTCATTTCCCTCTCTCATCCTAAGCTATGAGGCTTCCATTTGTCTGTGAAATTTCATCTCAACTGTCATCTTGTGTAAATCTCCCATTGTTCCCTAGTTGAGTAAACCTTCCTGTTACCCAGAACAAATTTTGCAAGAACACTACACACAAATGGCTTAGATACTTAAAAAAAAAAATAGCCGCATGTGCGTGAGTGTGCGTGCACACAAAAGGTTAAGAACACTTGCTGCTTTGGCAGAGGACCCTGATTCTGTTCCTACTACCCATAGTGACCTGCAACCCCAGTTCCAGGAGGGTCAGGCATCTGGCTTCCATGTGTACTGCATGCACATGTTACATAGATACATTCATGCAGACAATACATGAAACACTCATATACATGAAATAAAAATAGATAAAAATTTAAATGGCAAGCGACCTTTATAATTTCATACTGTGGAAGGCTGACCTCGAGTCAGAGCAACGACTCTGAAGTAAGCCTTTAACAGTTTTCATAAAAAGTTTAAACTTTATGGTAGGCTTGTATAAAATGAGCATTCTGCTGGTTAGGTTTTTGTCACCAGGACATAAGCTATGATCACTGGGAAGAGGAAACTTCAACTGACAAACTGCCTCGTAGACAAGTCTGTGCATTAGGGCTCTGCCCACCATGGGCAGTGCCAATCCTGGGCTGATAGTCCTGGATGCTATAAGAAAGCAGGCTGAGCAAGTTATGGGGAGCAAGCCAGTAAGCAGCACCCTTCTGTGGTCCCCGCATCAGCTCTTGTCTCCAGGTTCAGCTTGCATCAGTGATGGCATGTGATCTGAGAGCTCCCCAAGTTGCTGTGGGTCTTGGAGTTTATCACAGCTACAGAAAGAAACTAGGACAGACATCCTTAATCAGACCCACTCGTTCAGAGGTCAAAATAGTTAACTGGATAAGCTAGCATGCCTGTCACCACACCCCGTGGGGAAAGACAGAATCAGCTCCTGCATGCTTTCCTCTGATCCACACGTGTTCTGATCATGCACATGTGTACTCTACCCACAAAACAAACAAACAAACAAACAAACAAACTCTGTAAATGTACTTAGCTGGAAGACAGCTAGCCTTAGGAGAAGAGAAAAAACAATAAATTCTGTTCATGTTTTGTCTTCGGCTTTTCATTTTGAGACAAGGTCTTGGCAAGCTGTTGGTCTTGCATTCACTCCGTAGCCCTGACAAGCCTTGGACTTGCCATCCTCCAGTCTCAGCCTCTTGAGTCTCTGGAACTAAAGATGAGCCACCAGGCCTGGCTCTGAGTTTTCTTTTTCACACCTGGGAAGTTCTGAATGCCTGAGATGTGGAGGTCACTGCTTTACAGGGGGTCTTTTCCTCTGTAAGGATGAGTCGCTTTCCAGGAGGCTCCAGGGGCAGCGTTGGCCTTCCTTTTTCTCTCCCTTCCTCTTTCCTCTTCTTCTTCCTCCTCTTTTCTCCTCCTCCTCTTCTTCCTCTTCTTCTTTTTGTTTTTTTCCTTTCAAGACAGGGTTTCTCTGTGTAGCTCTAGCTGTCCTGGAAATCACTATGTAGACCAGGCTGGCCTCGAACTCAACGAGATCCACCTGTCTCTGCCTCCTGAGTGCTGGGATTAAAGGTGTGCACCCCAACACTGACCTTTATTTCTTTTTTCCTTTTCAAAAATTTATTTATTAATTTATGGCTATAGGTGTTTTACTTGCATATGTATTGTGCATGTCTGGTGTCTGAGGTCAGAAGAGGGTGTCAGAACCACCTGATTAAAGTTACAGATGGTTGTGAGCCACTATGTTGGTGCTGGGAATTGAACCCAGGTCCTCTGGAAAAGTAACCAGTACTTTTAACCTCTGAGCCATCTTTCCAGTCCATTGTTTGTCTGTTTTTTTTTCTTTTCTTTTCTTCTCTTTTCTTTCTCCCTCCCTCCCTCCCTCCCTTTCTTTCTTCCTTTTCCCTTGAGACAGGATTTCGCTCTGTAGTACAGGTTGGCCTACTACTTTCAATGGACCACAGGGCAGTCTTGAACTTCTGGCAATCCCCCTGCCTCAGCCTTTCAGCGGCTAGGATTCTAGACACTGTGCTAATATGCTTCATTGGGATTTCTTTATCATTCTGCTGGATGGTGCCAGCTATCAGAGCAACGGGAGATGGTGAAACCAGGAGGTGCAGCCAACAGGGTCTTCTGCCAATTCAACAGAAGCCTTCATCTTGTTCTTTTCATCCCTTGCTTTGGTTGCAAAGAGGAAACCCACCCTCCTGAAAGCAGCATGTCCTGAGCTGGCTTTGCTGGGACCACCCAACCCTGACTTGTAAGGGCCCTGTGATACCTACCTTCTTGTGTACCATGGAGGAGCCGGAGTTGACCGTGCCGTCATCCTCCTGCATCATGACGAGCTCGGAGCTGCTCTCGTCCATGACCTCCTGCATGCTGTTCACACTGCTGCTCCGGCTGCCTGTGCTCACTGACACGCTGGGGATAGAGTGGATGCTGCCCAAGCTGTCCACCTCCCTGTTCAGGTTGCTTCCGTGTTCACTGTCCTGTAAAAATGGGCACTGGGATTAAAAACCAAAACACCTGGAGATCAAGTGCTGACCTACTGGCTGGGCCACTGAGTATTAAATCTGTAGCAGCGAACTGCTCTCCTGTTGGTGTGCAAAGATCGTGTGTGTGTGTGTGTGTGTGTGTGTGTGTGTACATGCATAGTAGACACAGGTCAACCCTGAGTGTTGATCACAAAGAGCCATCTACCTTGAATTTTGTGACAGGGTCTCTCACTGGTTGGAGCTCACTAAGTAGGTTAAGACTATTTGTAAACAGGGGCTAAGACCCCTGGCTTTTTTTTTTTTTTTTTTTGAAGTATGGGTTCTGGGGATGGAACTGAGGTCCTTATGCCTCGCATGTCACTTTTTAAATGGAGGATCTCTGGGGACACTGTACCATTACCAAACATCTCACACTCACTTCTACCTCCCCAGGGCCACTCTGCTTATGGGTCTCAAGACTCCAGATGCTACCATCCCAGGGCTTTCCCGTCACACATGACCATGACACTGTGGGATTGCTCCCAGTATGTGTCACGAGTCCAGGCGGGTTCTCTGGGAATGCCAAGGTCCTCCAGACACTGCGGACACCAGATTGATGATCTCTACAGCGCCGCAGCCGTCACCTGAACTGACGTGCAGTGGAGAAGCTCTTTAGAGGGGACAGCGGTGTGCGTGCTCCCCTGCAGGACATTAGTGCACAACTGCATGAGGCAGAGGACAAACTCTACTGTCCGAGCTAGGTAATTAAATCCTGTCTCCCTTAAGCAGCTCTGTCATGATTTCCTCTGTGATCTCATTAAGAATATCTGTGAAATAATATTGGTACCTACTCCTGTCAGGCCAGAGACTAACAGTGGATGGGGTGAAGGTGTGAAGTCAGCAGTTACGATCACACAAGAGGCTCCTCCCCGACAAGATTAAATTCACTAAGTCCATTTAGTTACGGAGAAGCCCTATTTTCAAACCCTACTGTGCACAAACAGACAGTAAATTGCTACAGAGACAGGAGGATAGAAGCAATCACGCAGTGATACAAAATATAGACAATACAACACCTTTTCATTTTTGTTTTGAAGACAGGGCCTCAGTATGTAGTCAAGGCTGGCCTGGAACTCCATCTTTAGACCAAGTTAGCCTTGAATGCACAGAAATCAGCCTGCTTCTGCCTCCCTAGTGTTGGGATTACAGACTCCTGCTTCCATGCCCCACTATTAACATGTCACGTTTAATGCATTCATTTTCTCAATTAGTGGGATACTAATTATCTATACTGATCAAGAGATTTGTATAGTTCAATTTCTTTTTTTGAATTTTTTTATTGATAAAATAATTGTTTCATTGAAAGTTAAAAAAAATAACAGACTTCCTCTCTTCTTCACTATTTGGTTATTTTTCTAAGTTTATCATGTGTGTATCTATGTGTATGTGTGCATGTGTGTGTGTGCATGTCACAGCATATGGTGGGCTTGTGGGGGGTCAGAGGATAATTTCAGGAGTTGTTCTCTCCTTCCATCATGTGGGCCTGAGAGGTCTAACTCAGGCTGACAACACGGACCTTTGTCAGAAGAACCATCTAACTGGCTCTCATCCAATTCTTTTAGCTGGTGAAAGGCCAGAAAGTCATCTTTTCTTTGAAAACTCATGTGTACATGGTGTCAAGAGACCCCTGAATAACCTCAACCCACTCTTATTCTCTCAAGCAGGCTCCAAATCCACAATCCTCCTGCCTCAGCCTTTAAGTGCTGGGGTGGTAGGCATGTACTGCCATGCCCAGCCTCTTCCTGATGCTCACACACTTTCAGGCCACAAATGTTTAATTGTTTAGTCCCTTTATGATGTGGGATCCCCCTCTGTATGCTGTGAATACCATTGGTTAATAAAAGAACTGTCTTGGCCTGATAGGGTAGAGTAGAGCTAGGCAGGGAAAACTAAATGAATGCTGGGAGAAAGGAGGTGGAGTCAGTGAGAAGCCATGTAGCCTCGCAGGAGACTGGAAGTTTACCTGGTAAGCCACAGCCTTGTGGCAATACACAGATTAATGGAGATGGGTTAACTTAATATGTAAGAGCTAGCCAATAAGAAGCTAGAGCTAATAGGCCAAGCAGTGATTTAATTAATACAGTTTCTGTGTGGTTCTTTCTGGTCTGAGCTGTTGGGTAGCCAGGAAACAAACAAGTGGCCTCCTACAATACCCTTAAACCCCACTTCCATCACTTTCTCTTTCATTGAGAGCCACATGCTAGCAAGTCTACCTTTTCCCATTCCCAGGGACACAGCCCTCACCTCTTAACTGGTGGACTGGTGGCTGCAGCCAGGATGGTCCTCCCAAAGCACAGCGCTTACCTGAGTCTAAAATGGACCAAGCCCTGGATGGAGGAGGGGCACAGCCTCACCACTAGCTGAGGCTTACTGACAGTGAAGGCTGCTGGGGGGGAAGAGTCAGTTTTATAACGTGGCCCCTGGAAGGTTGATGAGCTCCAGTGGATCACCTTTATTGATGTATACATAGGCAGCATTAATTAGACAAAGTAGATTAAAAAAAAAGAGATGTGAAATTGGGAGTTTAGGGGTGTGTGTTGGTTTGAAAGAAAATAGCCCCCAAAGGGAGTAGCACTATTAGGAAGTGTGGCCTTGTTGGAGTAGGTGTGGTCTCCCTGGAGGAAGTTTGTCACTAGGGGGTGGGCTTTGAGTCTTATTAGGCTCAAGATACTGCCCAGTGTCTCAGTCTACTTCCTGTTGCCTGAATATAAAGATGCAGCAGTTCCTTCTCCAGCACCATGTCTGCATGCATGCCTCCATGTTCCCCACCATGATGTTAGTAGGACCAAACCTCTGAAGCTGTACACCACCACCTCAATTAAAATATTTTCCTTTATAAGAGTTGCTGTGGTCATGGTGTCTCTTTACAGCAACAGAAATTCGAAGACAGAAGCTGGTACCAGAGACTGGGGTACTGCTATGATTGGCCTGACCAGGTGTTTGTTTGGAGGAATTTGGATTTTGGTATTTTGGGTTAGGAAAGCAGTGATTAATGGGCCATACAGTAGGAGCATGGAAGATAATGGTGCTGAGAATGACTTGAACTGTGACGATCAAGAGGTTTCAGAGGAAAATGTCAGTATGACCTAGAGACTGGTCTTATGATATTTTCTTAAGAATGTGAACGCTTTTTGTCCTTGTATGAAGAGTCTGCCTGAGGCTGAAGTGAAGAGTTCTGAAATAGTTCCGTTGGCAGAGGAAATCTCAAAACAACCTAGTGTAGACTCTGTCGCGTGGTTGTTAGTGTTAACTCCGATGAAGGTTTATAACGAAAAGGAGCAAGCTGAGCAAATAAAAACGCAAAATGAGAAAAAGGGCACCAGGAAGTAGAATTAGAGCTAAATCCTGTGTTCAAGGAGATAAATGGTTTAAGAAATGGAATAGAGGGAGTGGTGACCTCAGGGCAAGATCCCACCCAGCTAAATTTCCAACTTGTGAAAAGGAATTAAAGAAAATCTTAGGACCAGCTGTGGTGGTACAGTCTCTAATCTCATCACTGGGAAGGCAAGGCTGAGGCCAGCACTGAGTTTGAGGTCAGCTTGGTCTACATAGCAAGATCCTAAACAGCCAAGCTTAGGCAGTGAAGGAAATTATGGAAAACCAAAAGCTGGTAAAGATCTAATCAAACAAGGGGGCCATTCTCCAGCCCCTTTAAGCAGCAGAACTTGGCAGCTTTGGTCACATGGTTCTGGCTTCAAGGATAAAAGAAAGGGGGTATAAAATCTTCCTCCATAACTAAGGAACACTGATGAGACCAGGCATGTGTCAGTGTGTCCCTGAACGGAGGCCTAGAGAGGCCACTGAGTGAAGCTGTGAAGGTGAAGCCTGGATTGCCTTGGAGACCCTAAGATGTTGGAGATGCCAGAGCCATGGGATACCTGCTGAGAAGAGCTGCTAACAGGGAGTAGAAACAGTCCAAGAGACAGAAGTGTGTTATAGTCCACAAACCTGGAAGAACTTGGAGATCTGAGGAGTGTTTTGATATCAGACATGGAGACGCAGAGTTTGGAGTTTGCCCAGCTGGTTTTGGTCTTGCTTTGGTCCTGTATTTTCTCACTGTGTTCTCTTCCCTACGTTTTGGAATGATAATGTATATCCTGTGCCATTATATGTAGGAAGTATGTTATCTGCTTTTTTATTTTGATTTTACAGGAGATTACAGTTAAGAGATCGCCATAAGTCTCAGAAGAGATTTTAAACTTTAGTTTTTTTTAAATAAGTTTGAGAATGTTATAGACTATGGGGACTTTTGAAGCTGGACCAAATGCATTTTTGCATTATTATATGGATACAAGTTTTTTGGGGACCAGGGAGTGGAAAGTGGTGGTTTGAAAGACAACGGCCCCCAAAAGGAGTGGCACTGTTAGGAGGTGTGACCTTGTTGTAGGAAGTGTGTCACTGGATGCTCAAGCCACACCCAGTGAGTAGGTTCACTTCCTGTCGCCTTTGGTTCACTTCCTGTCGCCTTTGGATCAAAATGTGACGACTGTCAGCTCTAGCACATCTGCCTGCATGCTGCCATACTTCCCCCCGTCACGATTATGAACTAAACCTCTGAACTGTAAGTGAGCTAGCCCAATTAAATATCTTCCTTTATAAGAGTTGCCATGGTCATGGTGTCTCTTTATGGCAACAGAAACCCTAATTAAGACTAGGAGGGGGGTGGGATTGTCTTGAAAGAGCTGGAGGGGGAGCAGGGACTGAATGTGACCGAAAAGCTTTGTATGCATATGTGGAATTCTCAAATAAAAATACATTTAAAAATTCGTGCTGTGCCCATTCATGAATGCCTACTCCATCCCACTATAACCCCCGAGCCCTGCGTAGCACTAACCTCACCCCGTACTGGGGCTGGACCCCAAGCTCTTTTTACATTCTGCCTTAAGTAAGAATCGCTGCCTTTGTGTCTCTGTCTCTCCAAGTCTTCCTCGGGGGAGAGAGCACCCATTCTGCCCCCATTCTCCAAAGTGTCCTAGCTGAAACTGGGGGAACCTACCTCTTCTTCCTCTTGTGACTCATTCAAGGGTCCATTTCGAGTCTCCTGGAAGAGAATCTTCTTCATTTTTCTGTATTGCAGGTTGTCCAACTCTCGGACAGCATCTTTTGTCCTCTGTATGAGGTCAATGAGAACCCGTGGTGGCCGCTCCCTCCGAATGAAGTCGTGCTGATTGACAGGGGAGGAAAACATAGATGGTGAGCAAGCCTTATCTTCATGAGCAATGTACCCATATAAGTAGGCAGGGGAGAGGGACCAGGTTCACAGACCTTAGAATTAAATGTGATCTTGAGGCTGGTGTCCCTCATGGGGACTCCCTCTTACAAAAAGATAACAATGCTTCTACATTCTGTCCCAGGCTCCCCTTTGTAGACTTGGCTCTAAGGACTCCACAAGAAATTTTTTGTTTCTTGGTTTTTGTTCTGTTAAGCAGGGCAGTGAACAATTTTAATCCCAACACTTGGGAAGCATAAGCAAGGGGTCTCTGTCTCTGTGAGTTGGAGGACAATCTGGTTTACATAGTGAGTTCTAGGCCAGCCAGAGCTACACCATGAGACTGTGTCATAAGAGAATTTCTCTTTTTAATTATATATATTTATGGTATACAACGTGATGCTTTGGTACAAATGATGAAGTAATAGAAGGCAGTTACTACACCATCATTTCCCATTCCCCTGTATGTAGTAGAGGTGCCCAAACTTTGCTGTCTTCAAAATTTGCATGACACCTACAGTTTTTTTCAGGTCAGATGTTAGGTCTCAATACTGAGTATATTGTGTAAGTAAAACACTGGGCCCAATACCTCAGCCTCCCCAATTTTCTTTTACATATTTATTTGTATGTGTGTACACACGTGTGTCCAGGCCAGAGGACAACCTGCTGGAGCCAGTTCTCTCCTTCTCCCGTGTGGGCCCCGAGGATTAAAGTCAGATCTTCAGTCTTGGTGGCAAGTCCTACCGCGCCATCAGGCCCAAATCTCATTTCCATCTCTGAAACCATCTTTCTCCTTTTTAATCTGTATCTTTGATTTTAAAAAGCCATGCAAATTCTGCATGCACACAATGTTGTTTGGTGTCTTTCTCTGTATATCTGGTTTCTCTTACTTGTAGAACGCCGTACAGATTCATCCATGTTGTCACATATCATAGACGCTCTCTCTCTCTCTCTCTCTCTCTCTCTCTCTCTCTCTCTCTCCTCTTCTCTTCTTCTTTGAGACAGGGAGGGCTGTGGCCCAAGCTGGCCTTGAACTCACTAGGTAGCCCTCTGATTTCCTGCCTCCACTCCCAAGTGTTGAGCTTATAGCCGTGTGGCACCATGTCTGGCTGGAACTCCTATTCCCAGGATAAAAAAGCAACTGTATTGTGTGTGTTCCTGTGTGTGTGTGTGTGAGTGTGGGATTGTTTCCGTACCTTGGTTGCTATGGGTAGTGCTATAGTAATTATGGGATGCAGACAGCTTCACAAAATAATGAATTTCATTTCTTATAGATATGAACCTGGAGGAGGGTATGCTGGGTCAGAAACAGTCCTTTTGTTGGTGGTGGTGTTTGTAATTTTCTTGAGAAACTCCACACTGATTTCCACAATCGTCACATCAATTAACAAAATATTCCCTTTGCTCTTGAATAACATTATCCCCTAAGATTTATTTTATCATAAATAATGTAATAAAAGTCACTAGAACTTAGGACTGTAGAGACGTCTTAGTGGTTGGGAGCACTGGCTACTGTTCTAGAGGACCTGAGTTCAGTTCCCAGCATCCACACGATGGCTCACAACTATCTGTGCTCCAGTTCTAGGGGATCTAACGCCCTTTTCTGGCCTTTATGGTCACGAGAGGCACATAGTGCACGTATATTCATGAAGACAACCACTCATACACATAAAATAAAACAAACAAAATCCTCAAAAAACCACTAATCACGAGAACCTTAAGTAACGGTAGATGGATCTGTCCCTTCCAAAGCTGAGAAGGGGTGAACTCTATCCCTGCCACATTTCGCCTCTGCCTCTCACCAGCCTTGTTTACTCTTTCTGTCAGACGCGCAGTGAGGAATGCTGCATGGACTGGCTTACTGGTCATACAACTGAGGTAAAAAAAACATGGCAGCTCTTCAGTCTACCTGAGGTCAGGGCTGCTGCGAGGCTGTCACCCATGAAAGAGCTGGACAGACAAAAGCAAGGGAACAGGGTCTCTGAGAGGCTGCACCCCGCCCCATCCTCTGCCACTATCGGTAGTGAGCAGCAGCCGAGCACACACAGGCAGAAGTTTCTGAGGTTTCTTTTTGAGATCAAAAGGCAAGATGTGTAAGGAAAGAAAAGTGTTTGTCTTTAGCTTGATGGATCTCCTTCCTGACCTGGAATAAAGACTCGAGTCCTGGAGTTGTGGCGGTCATTTTGCACCAGAGAAGACAAAGGACACAAGGTGTGGAGAAGGCAGAGAGGGCGCTTGGGGTGAGAGTGACATTGCTGAGTCACACACCGGACTGTGAGGAGTTCCTCTGTCCTCAGCATCCTAGACCTCACACATGAGATGAGTCAGCCCTCACCTGAGTCTGCATCAGAAACACGGAAGCCCTCAATGCCTTCGGTGCATCTCTCTGTCTACTGCATAAGGACTGTCTCACTGGACTCCTGCTTTAACTCCAGACTTGGTCCTTCCTGTGCACAGCACATCTAGAAGATGGCTGGCCCTGGTCCTGCAGCTGCCACGCCTGTGTTTTGCTCATATTCTCTGTCTGCACGCTCACACCCACCCTCATTGCTCTCCACACCCTGCCATCAAAAGGTCCTTTAAGAAAATAATCTGTAAACCAAGGCGCACTTATGCTTGTAATCCCAGAATCTGGGAGGCAGAGGCAGGAAGGTCTCTGTGAGTTTAAGGCCAGTCTAGTCAACACAGTGAGTACCTGGCCAGGCAAAGCTACCTATTGAGACCCTGTCTCAAACAACAACAAAATAATAACCCTATTGTTCTTTACAATGTTTAAAGATTCAAATAATATAGAAAATGGTTAAAGGAAAGTAAACAAGAGAATTCCAAGTTCCATCATCTAGAAGAAAATATTGTAAAATTTAGGAGGTCAACTTAGGTCTTATCAATTCCTCTCCACCCTAAAACGAAGACTTTTTTTTTAAAAAAATTCAAATGGGAACCATATCATACATTCTAATTTAAGTATAATCTATAAAGCTGAAGATGTACATGAACTAAACAGAATTAGAAGAGAGTGCAATAAAGTAATTGTTTCATTTGAGTTATAATTTTTTCCACTACCAGCATTATCTGTTTCTAAATCTTCCTTTAAAATTAAGGAGATTCGGGGACTGGAGAGATGGCTCAGCGGTTAAGAGCACTGACTGCTCTTCCAGAGGTCCTGAGTTCAATTCCCAGCAACCACATGGTGACTCACAGCCATCTGTAATGAGATCTGATGCCCTCTTCCGGCATCTAGACATACACGGAAGGAATGTTGTATACATAATAAATGAATAAATCTTAAAAAAATATTAAGGAGATTCATGAATTTAAGAGAAAACCCTGGAAGGGGAAGGGGCTGGAAGGAGGGAAGGGAAGAGGGGAAATTATGTAATTATATTTTAATTTTGAAAATTAAAAAAAAATGAAACAAGCTGGGTACAAATGTGATCTTCAATAAATAAACAAACCAGTGAGTAAATGAATGTGATTAAATTAAGGGGAGGGTTAGCAGGATGGATCAGTGGGTAAAGGTGACAGCCACCAGGACCGATGGTGGCCTGGGTGTGACAGCTGGGACTCACGCAGTGGAAGAACGGAGAGCAGGTGACGTGTGCTGGGGCACGCGTGCTCATGTGCACACATTCTCTCTGAAGATAAGTATATCTAAATATGTCAGTGTAATGAAACATGTCAAAAATAAAGAGGAAAATCACACAAGGCTTAAGAGAACGGGGTTCCCTGTATCAAAACACTCTATTCTCTCTGAAAGACAGGAGCGCTAACACTGACTGACGTTTCCTGGCCCTAGTTCTCTCCACTTCTTTTCATTCATTTCTTCTTTTTATTTTGTCACTATTTACCACATCACATTGTGGCTTTCAAACATTTTGATAATTTTTACCTGAGTTCTATATTTAAATTATTCAATGTAAACGTGACATTTTAATATCAGGAAGAAAATATGAGGGAAAGACGGTTTATCAAAAAATATCTTTGCATTTTCTAGTGTTTTTCTTAATTTCTTTTTTCAGAGATTTGAAGTTTTCTTTCTTTTTTTTTCTTTTCTTTATTTCATGTGTCGGGGACTCAGTAGGGCAGCTGTGAGCCACCATGTGGATGCTGGGGATAAATCTGGGTCCTCTAGAATAGCAGCCCATGATCTTTTTTGTTTTTTTGTTTTGATTTTTCAAGACGGGGCTTCTCTGTGTAGCTTCTCTGTCCTAGAACTTGCTTTGTAGACCAGGTTGGCCTCGAACTCAGAGATCTGCCGGTGCCTGCCTCCTGAGTGCGGGGTTTAAGGCGTGTGCCACCACACCCGGCTCCTGCACCTTGTACTTACAGCTAAGTGTACAGCCACCTCTCTAGTCCTGAGACCCGAAGCTCTGACTGCAGAGGTCTTTCACATCTTGGTTAGGTTTACCCAGAAACACTTTTTTGATGTTATTGTATATGAAGTGTGTCCACGATCTCGTCCTCAGTCTGCTTGTTCTTGGTAGACATAAAGGCCTACTGATTTTTATAGTGGATTCTGGGATTAACAAAAGTCCCAGTACTAGGCACAAGAAACCTTCTTTGTAACGGTTGATCAGGGTAGTCTAAGTGACTCCCAAAACAATATAGATTATACACGTAGCCCTAGGTTGCCTCTCAAGGGTTGAGGGTAGACCTCCATTGCTGAAGAAACCATAAACTCAGGACACCAGAAGCATGCCATTTGAGCTGAAATTGACCTGAATGTCTCTTTCCTGTGTTCCGTGGTTCCAGAAATTACTATGTAAGTGCCAACAGAGGGAAGCAATTAAACAGGCCTAGCCAGCTGCAGCACCTAGGTGGCAGGATTCTACACCTTTCTGGCCTAAGAAGTGGCACTCACACGTTGGTGGCAACCAACAGCTGTCCAATTTGCCCTAAGGCCCACTCAGCAGGGGAAAATCATGCCTGGGGCTAGAAACCTAGAATGGGTTAAGACAGCCTGGGGGTAAGTCCTAGCGACACTTCACCATAACTCCTTACCATGCTCTAAATCTTCTCCTTGTACCCACAGATAACTGTGACTGCCATCCCTCATCACAGCAAACTACAACTGGATATAATGCAGACATCCATAGAAACGGGTACCTAAGTCCCAACTTCTACATCCACATCACAGCTCCTGCATCTACGGCTCAGGGAACACCATGGAAGAGAGGTGCGAAGACTGGAAGAGGCAGAACACCAGGAAGTCTCTTGTGAGACGGTCTCTCTTAGAAAAGGCTGCATGAACAAGACCCGAACAATGGCAATATGAAGGGACATGCTACCGTGGAAGAGAGAAATTTCTCGTGAGGTCTCATCCCTGGACAAAGAACTCCAGGCAACAGCTACTACTGGGAGAAGGAGAATTAGCCTCTCCCAGGGACGAGTCCATCAGTAGTTGTCTAATGCAAAATGATCAGCCTGAAAACTATACACCACAAACAAAAATAGACTCAGCAGGTGATATTTTATATATTTGTGCGTGCGTGCAAACACACATCTATCTATCTATCTATCTATCTATCTATCTATCTACCTATCTACAACATATATATGTAATAAGAATAATAAAAAAGGCTGTCAACTTGAGATTGGGGAGCATGAGGGGTTTGTGGGAGGAAAGGATGTGGTGAACATGATGTAATCACCTTTATTTCAATTAAAGAACTTTTAATTTAAAAAGGATGCTAGAGTGAAAGAAAGATGTTTCCAAGATTCATTATGCATTAATGAAGGAAAAAAAATCAACACCTAATAGACAAACGGCTACAATCGGAGAGGACATAGATAAGGAGACAGAAATGGCGTTGCAGCTTAGGGAAGAGATGAGCTTGTGTAAGTGATGAGAAATAAAACTTAAAACTACAGCCAGAGGGGCTTGCGTGCATGCGTGTGCGTGTGTGCTTGTCTGTGTGTGCAGCTCTGTAGACACAGTGCTGACCTTATGGGCTGAGGCCCTGGCTTTGACTTTTAGCATTACCCAAGACCTCCAAACCAAATGAAAACAACCCAAAGTTGAAAAAAATCCTATAAAAAATCCAGAACAAAAAGACTAAAAACCACCAAAACCACAACCAGAAACATTTTTTTTTCCCATTAATCTAAGCAGTGCAATTCAAACGCTCACACTTGGTCAGGGAGGCCGTGGGCTCCAGGGCAGTCTGGTGGCGTGCATTCCCACCTAGGGGAATCCACACAAGGGTGTAAAGGCTGGGAGTGGCTGCATAGCTCCCACTTCCAGCCATGCACAGCTGCCCACTTTCCCATCATTCCCCAGTCCTCTGTGTAGCTGCTTCCTCTTAGGTTAGTCTTCCAAACTTGTTAAGACTCGGGGTGTTTATGGAAAGGTAGAACAGCAGCATGTTCTAAGCAGAGGTGAAACACTCCATTCTACAGGGAAGCTCCTTAAGCTCAGGAAGGAAACAACTCAAAGGCCTCAGGAAGTCCCTGAAGCTGACCAGATTCATCAGCCTTCCCTCCCCAAGCACATATCCACAGTAAGGACTGCAGAGGGTCACCCTCAGACCAGCTGAGGTACCTGGAGAGGACGCTCTCCAGTCTGTTGAGTTGCCTGCAGACTGTGCAACATGCTCCAGGTATCCAGCTTTGGTGACCTGTCACCTGTGCTAAGGTGGGCTTTGGTGTTGCCGCGGTCTTTGATCATTTCTGCTGCTGTAAGTACCCAGGGAAAACTCACGGTTCACCAAGTTGGATTTTGATCTGTCCTCAGATCCTGACTGCAGTGAGCAGCCCACTGTTCATGTTGTCACAGTAGTATCACATAAAAAATCGTTCTGTGTGTCAGTGTGTATGTGATATGTGTGTGTACAGGTGTGGAGGTTGGGGGGGATGTTGGGTGTCTTACTCTACCACTTCATGTATTATTTCTTTGAAACAGTGTCTCTTACTAAACATGGAGCTAGGATGGTGGTCAGAAAGCCTGTCTCTGCCCCCAGCAATACTGAGGTTATAGGTGCATGTAGCTCTGCCCTGCTTTTCATGTGGGTGCTGGGATCAGAACTTGGGACCTCACACTTGTACAGCAAGTGCTCTTAGTACAAGGCCATCTCCCCAGTCAAAAATGCATTTATTTTTATTTTGTATGTGTGAATGTTTACAACTTATTTTGTGTGCAGAGTGTTTTGCCTGCACGTACTTATGTCTGTGCACTATGTGTGTGTGCAGTGCCTGCAGAGGCCAAAAGGGGGTGCTGGATCCCCGGGAACTGGAGTCACAGACGGTTGTGAGCTGTCAGGTGGGTACTGGGAACTGAACCCTGTCCTTACAGGAGCAGCCAGCGCTCTGGACCGCTGAGCTGTCTCTCCAGGCCGGCAGCTGCCACTGTTTTAGGCCTGAAGGTGAAACACGCAACAGAGCCGAATAAGAATGCACACACAAAAGGGCAGAGATTGGGATTATTCTACGCCAAGCAGGAAATGTTCACACCGTGACAGATTCCCGTCTACTCCACAAATGTTGATGGATCACAGTATCATCACATGAAATCAACATGCAACATGCAAAGATAGGCTCAGGACTGCGAGGTTCAAACCAAACCAGTGCGTATTAATAGAAAAAGTAAGAAGTCAAAGAAAAGTAAAAGAAAAATGTTCCAGAATGGAAACATGTTGTTGTTGTTTGAGATAGGCTCTCACATAGCCAAGGCTGGCCTTGAACTACTGATGCTCTTTCCTCTGCTTCCAGATTGGGCGTGATGACAGTATGTTTCTACAACACCAGTGCCTGGAAGGTGGAGGCAGGAGGATCAGATCAGACTGCGTATGTGGTAGGTTCACAGGCATGCCACCATGACCTCTTGGAGCTCAACTATACGACCCGAGTATCTGCTTTTAGATTGTCACCCTGCACCTTCGCCGCCTGGAGCGGACACTGACCTGACTGAGATTTTCCGAGCTGGCACTGCTGTTTTTGCCAGATCATCCTGAGAGCTCAATTCAAGTTCGGTCAGAAAATCCCTGAGATGGCAGGCAGTGCAGGGAGGAGAAACTGTACTAAGACAAAGCAGGAAGGCGGGGGGTGGGAGGGTGGGGGGGTGGCAGGAAGGATGTGGATCCTGAGAACCGTCCCATTTTTACGCCTATTTTCATCTTTGAGTTAGTAACCAGGGAGCTTGCCATAAGCCAGCGTATCACAGTGCTCGGCCATGGCCCCTCCACAGATAGAAACTAGAAAAATTACCCGTAACAGTTCCACCGCAGCTGGTCTTTCTTGAGGTATTTTTTGCAAGCAGTAATCAACGAATCTCCTGAAGGAGTCGGTCCTGTGTGAGGGGACACATCAAGGAGAGTAGTGAGGGACCGTGGGACACGCAGCTCACGGAAGGCAAAGTGAACGGGTGGGAGCTCTGCACAACTTGGGAGACTGTGTACATGCATGCTGTATGTATGTGTGTGTACATGTGCGTGTGTGCATGAGTGTGTGCACTCGCACCTGTGCATGTATGGGAAGGCCAGAGGTTGAGAGCAAGTGTCTCTCACAGTCACTCTCCACCTTAGTTTTGAGTCAGGGTCTCTCACTGAACCTGGAGCTCACTGATTTGGCTAGACCAGCTGGCCAGTGCGCCCCAGAGATTCCTTCCTCTTCATCTCCCCACACTGAAATTTTGGGGCCAAGCTTCTGCATTGGTTCTGGAGATAGAATTCACATCTTTTTGTATATACAACAAGACTTTGCTGACTAGGTCATCTCCCTAGACAGGAGATTCCTTTTCATAAGACATTTTGAAATATCAGGGGACCTGGACCATTTTCAAGTTATGGCAGTGAAAATTAATTCTTCTGGATAATGAGGTGGACACAGTCCCAAGCTATTCAATGCAGTCATGCACATAAGTAAGGATAGGCCAAATCACAAACTAGATCAGAAAATAAAAGCACCATACTTGCGTGTGATCAGAGATAACACAGCCCTGATGCGCAGTCTGCGCGGAGTTAGCAAAGTGGGAATAAAGAATGCGTGACCCCTAAAGAGTGAACATAAAAGCACACGGGGGCGGAGAACCTGGAAACGCATTTTCTGAATAAGACTAAGTCCTCTCTTGGAGGCTTCATTTGTGTCCACTCTTGTCAGATGGCTCATTCTCTGTGACTCTTGCTACAAACGTGCCATGGTTTTGGGCCGTGAACGACACGTCTTCTGGACAGAGAGTAACATGTTCTCTTCCAGCCCGTTCTGATAACACAGAGCAATGACATCAGCCAGGGTCTCTCAGCTGCTACGAATTACAGATGAGATGAGCAGGGCTTAAGGGATGAGGTGTGGAAGGGAGGTAGCAGGGTACATGTTCCCAGTGTGTGTGTACACGCCTGTGTGTGTGTGTGTGCGTGTGTGCACATGTGTGCATGTGTGTGTGCATGCGGACATACACATACAAAGGTACACTGTTTGTGGGACATTGGTCTTACTATTGCTGTGATGGAAGGAAGGATGCAATGGTGTTTTAGGGCAGACCTGTAACATGTAGTTTAATAAGCATATCAGACACCCACAGAGATTTCTTGGCGACGTCTTACCATTCTCTGGACTGTAGCGTGGGTGAGTCATTTTGGGCGATGTGGTAGAGGGCGCTCATGGCGTTCATGTTGAAGAGGGGGGGCTTCCGCTCGGCTGGAAGAGGAAGGAACCATGGTAAGATATTCTCGAAAGAAGTAAGGTAGGTAGAAAAATCAGGACTATTAATCAGTGAGACACCATCTGCTCTTTGTACTCTTAGGGTCAGCTCAGTTGAGCCACGTGCTGGCTGCTGGTCACTCACTATCCATCGGAAGGCTCCCAGCAGAACCCGTTTCAGAATAATGGAAGAAAATGTCCTTATTTTTTCATGGTTTCTGCATAGATTGGTGTTGGCCTGTTTTCCAATGACAAGGTGTGAATACGTGTGTGTATATTTTAATTAAAAATACATATTCATTAAATGAAATCAGAAAGCAAAGAAAAGTAGCACAAAAATATGTTATTATGGAATGGAGGGGCTGGAGAGACGGCTCAGTGGTTAAGAGCACTGGCTGCTCTTCTAGAGGACCCGGATTCAGTTCTCAGCACCTATAAGATGTTTTTTTCACAACTATACATTAACTCTAGCTCCAGGGGATCTGATGCCCTCTTCCGGACATTGCATGGACGTAGTGGAATAAATACGATACAGGCAAAAATATTTATACATATAAAATAAATCTCTTTTACAAAGAAAAAAAATTTATTGTGGAGTGAAACAGACATTTATTTATGTACTTATTTAGAGCCAGGGTCTTTCTTAGCCCAGAGGCCAGGCTGTTTTAGACAGTGAGTTCAAGCATAGCCAGGGATACATACTGAAACTTTGTCTCCAAAATAAATAGAAAGACAAATAAAAAAAAAACACTTTAAAAAAAAAAAGAAAAGAAGGTGATGATTTGGAGTGACTTCTTTGTCTTCTAAAAAACATTTATTCCCTCTGGGTCTCAGAATGTACTTTGATTACGGTCCTCTGTGAGTCTTTGCTAGATGATGGCTGCAGACGCCTCTGGAAGGTCCTTCAGGGTCCTGCACAGCTTCCTTCCTCCCTTTCCTGCCCCTTCCTTCTCTCCTACCCTTCCTCTCCAGGGTCTCGGGCACAGTCCTAGCTGGTTGGCCTCCCTAGTAACAGAGATCACACGTGCACCACCATGCTGGAGCAGACTGTTTACATGCATCAAGTAGAAACTCCAGATGGTGGAGGAGAAGAAATGACTCTGGCAGCTTCTTTCTAACCTCCACTTATGTGCCGTGGCACTTACAAGCACATTCTCAACCCCCACAAATAGATAATTTTTTTTATTTATCTATATTAAAATTGTTAAAAATATGAAAAACGAATCTCTGTGTGGCAAACAGGCATAGAAAAATAATGAAGAGAGACCAAAGTCTCTTGGGGCTGAAGTCAGAAACCATGTGATAGGCTCACCATAAGAGAACAATGTAACTCTCTTCCCCAGCAAAATGCAGAACAATCCAGGTTGCTCAGAGCTTGAACAGGAGAAGCAGTGAAAGGGGGGGCTCGACAAAGAAAAGGATGTTAAGAAAGGATGTTGGAAGTGGGGTTGTAGATCAATTGACAGAGTGCTTTGCTACCATGTATGAAGCATTGGATTCAATTCCCACACTGCGCAAACCAGGTGTGGTCATCATGTTTGTAATCCTAGCACTTGAGAGGTGGACACAGGCGGATCAGAGGTTCGTGGTCATCCTATGTTACATGGTGATTTCCAGTCCAGCCTGGACTATATGAGACCCTGTCTCAGAAGAGAAAATAGAAACCAAAACTCAGCATTAGCACAGACAGTAGCAACTCAGACTTGAAGCCTAAATGGAGGCCGGGAGGAGCAAGCAGTGTGCCTGGGGACAAGCCATGACAGCCAACCCTCAACTGGTGGGGAAATAGCCGTAGTAGAGAAGCCAGAGCCTGGGGCCATCCTCCAAACACTGGATTTGAAGGGTCTGGTCTACATATGAATTCTTTACTAGGTGAAATTACTATCCCCAAACCTGGTGCTGAAGGCTGTAATGTCAGCACGAGACAGGCTAAAGCAAGGAGATCTCAGATTCTAGAACAGTCTGGGCCACACAGAGAAAGCAAGCAAGCAAGCAAGCAAGCAAACCTGCCTCATAGCCACAGTGACAGAGCTTGTCACTGAGACAGAACACCACAGAGCAAAGGCCAGAGTCAGCCAGCAGCCCACTTCTGTGTTATGAGGTCTTTTCCACGGGTGTTTCCTGTTCCAGAGGGGAAGGTACAAGCAGCGCAGGCATACCCAGCAGGGCCTGCAGAGTCCAGAACATCCATCATCTGGTCCTTTCCAGGGAGGGCACAGCAGGTGGCATGCGTCTGTATACAGCACACAGGAAGGTCTGGTGGGGCCTGTGACATGGATCTGTGAGCCCTTATTTTTTTTCTTTTGCATATGTGGGTCTCTGTGTACGTATGGTGTCCACATATGTGCAGATGTACTTGTATGTGTGTCTGCATGTGTACGGCGTGCATGTGTTTTCGTGTGTAGTGTGCGTGTGCGTAACCGTGTGTATGTGTATGTGTGTGCGTGCAGATGGAGGCCTTGATCACACTCTACAAGGTCTCTCATTCGAACCCAGAGCTTGCTGACTCAGCTAGTCTAAGCGGCCATTTTGCTCCAGAGGCATCTGCGGCCTCCTCCGGAGGTCTGGGATGACAAGTGGGTAGCTGCATTTACATTGATGTTGGGGATCTGAACCTGGTTTCTATGCACTGTAGGAATTACTTTATCTACCAGACTGACTCCCCAGCCCAGAATCCATAGTTTCTTAAATGAAAGAAAAGGACAAAAGAAAAGAAGCTAATCTTGCTACAGGATATATATATATATATATATATATATATAT